AGGGTTAGTGAAAATATCAATATTTAGACGGAGCTTCAAAATTGAATTGCGCCTGGGGCCTCTCGATTCCTAAATCCGCCACTTAGTATTAAGAATGGTTTTAATTGGATGATTATATTTCCATAATATTTTAACAGTAGAAAATTTCGAAAGTCGATATTTCGGATAGAGTAGTCCGAAAAATAATCTGGCAGTTCAGGCTTAAAGGTTTCGGTTTTGTTTATACTGTATTACACCACGATCATTAAGTGTAGTGTTGTAACCACTCGACAAAATTTCTTGCGTTATTACTGGATTGCATAGAAGCGTTACAACATACATTTACATAATTCGTCATTATCCAGCCAAAACAGAATTTTATCTAATTACAGTTACATAATTGTACTATCCGGCAATGCCAAGTGTTTTAGTTACTTTATACATTAAGATAAATAATTAAAAAAATTACTTTATAAAAATGCAATAATCGAACTATTAGATTATGTATTAGTTTTAATCTAATACTTATATTTGCACTTTTTTTCATTCTTTTCCTCGTGGGCATTAAAAAGATCTTTCTTCAAGCCCATCGTGGGTTCGTCCAGGAAACACAATGGGCCAGCCGGGTGTTGGGAAACAGATTCCGATGAATTCCGCACAGACCACCCCACAAAAATTTCCTGGAGATTTTGACCTGCCTGATTTCATTCCGGTCACATAGAGAGGTAGACTGACCCCTTGACCGCCTGGCCAACTGATAGCTTATTTGTACTGTGTATTGAAGAGCTGTCTAACCCAGCGCTGAACGAATGCGACCCAACATAAAATAAAAAAACCTCTTCAAAATATTGAGATCTTTTAATACTTATTATTCAATGTTTTTGAAATTCGCTGGGCTTTGTAATGCTTTTTATTAAAAATTTGTAATAAGATGCCGTTAATATACACTTATAATCTTTAAAAATATACTTAGTACACATTTTCTAGTATACTTTGTTAAAAGACAGTTAAGCTATTTCCGCTAGTGCAGCGAGGTCCACAAGCGCTGAAGACAGAAGTTAAGATGGTTACCAGCATAAATTATACGCATATTATGTACTGTACCTCAAATGAAAAGATTTGGCTACTTTGCGCCAAAATGGACTACCCTTTTAGTTTCGCGCACAAAGTATTATTTGACGAATTGGCTACTTTTTGGGCTAAAAAATTTAACTATAATTTAGCTACATAAATTATTTCATCGTCTGTTTCGGCCTGGAACGGAAAATCTACTCGTGTCATCTTTATCTGTAGTTTTATAGTTTATGTGCGGCCCGAGACATTTTTTTTGTCTTCAAATGTGTTCAAGAAAGCCAAAAGTTTGTACACTCCTGGTGTATTGTGATGACTAACAAGAACTTAAATTTATTTTTATATTTTTCTATAGTTATCTTTATTTTTTCCCTAGTTTTATGATATATATTGTATTTATTTTATATATGTATTTTTCAAATTTTAAAATTACGTTATAATATTTCTAATTATACTGAGCAAAGTGAATAATTCAAGGATATTACTTAATGAGGAAGTTACTAAAGAACGAAAATGCTTTTTTCAAATGCTGTACGCAAGAACAATGATTTAACCGTTTTCTGAATGTACAGCGAAGTAATTTAACAAAATGTATTCTTTTTTTTAATATAAAATATTAAAATATTCGCAAAACTTTGAAACTGTACTAATTTCTATTTGTATTGCTAGTTTTGGAAAGCTATTGTAATGGTGAAATTTAATTTATAATTAATAATTCATACTTTACAGTATAAGAATCCGCTAGGTTATATGAAGCTAAATGACAATAGATGATAAGGTAGTTTATAACAACAGATAATATTTTCAATTCTAGACAGTGCTTCTCAGATTCATCGTCAATAATTAACTTTCGTGTAATCATTGACGATGAATTAATCAATGGTTACATCTGCCCATAGTCTAGCTTTTGCTTCTTTGTTTTTTGCTTGTTTTTTTACCCTTGTGAGCCTTAGTCATATCTATGATGGATTGCAGGTACGCAATAAGGCAGCCAGGTTTTCAAAAGCAAACTTAGTTAAAATGTGTTACATAATAACAAATAATAAAAAGTTTTCAATTATTGATAATTCAATAAAATTCGTAGTTATTAATTTATCTAATTTTGAATATAAATCAATTTTTTCACAATGTCCTAATTTCTGGTCTTGAACTTATGGCAACCATATGAAGGGAAAGTTGAGGATTTTTCATTGGATTCGAAGTAAACTTACGAGTAATAATGGTTACTACCACTAAAAGTTAAAGCTACGTTTAAAACCAAAAATAAATAACAAAAACAAATCTTTTATACGAATTTTTATTAATATAGAATCATTTTACATAGGTATTTATATTTACTAAAATTACGAATGGCACAAGTCATTAAACGTGAAATAATAATCTGGGTTTAGAATTAAATAGTATTTGTTGTCGCCGGATACTAAGCAGATAGGGAGAGAGCGACGGTAATACTGTACTGTCAATACTGCGAAAATTTTGATTTGAGGTAAATTTTAGGCCGCAATCTTTTAATAAACTCATTTTTATTTACAACGTTTATTTCATGAAAAAGGAATCGTAGCCTATCTGTAAATTACACAAAATTATAACCTCTGTACAGGATAGTAACTTAAACTTGATTTAAAATCAGGCATAATTTTAGTTATTATCAAAACTGTTTAACTTACAAACTTCTGAAATCCCTACAGTTTGTAGTTTCAAACCCGAGGAAGCTATGACCTACAATTCCGTGTATGGCCACCCACCGAATGCTGTTAGTGTAATCGTTACAAAGAGGTTTAATTTGTATAAAATTGAGTTTTTGTTATTTTGGGCAATATTTCGAATGAAAATCATTCGTTCGGATGCAATTTTATTCTAAGAAGTGATAATAAAGTAAGGGATGGAACCCGGCCAAGTTTGACCTATCAACCCCCAAGTTTCGCCAGCACTTCACTGATAACGAGAAAGGGTTAACAGTTGAACGCCGGTTTAAATACAATGTGAATGTCCGTATAATATAAGTTGCCTTGACGACTAAACAATAGCGTAACGCAGTCTTTAAACTCGACAAACACTGCCTTATGTTTTCGTTGTCACTTTGCCCACCATCAAACTGTCGTTGTTCTACGAACTTCAATTTAATCGAAGAGGAACAACGAGTCCTCTTACACTGCCAAAATGTCTGTCCGTCAATTGAAAATGAAAAAACCCAATCCCGGACGAAAGTCAAGTCCAGTGAATTAAGTCGTAGCAGGGTGAAACGTCATTTTCGTGTGACAAAGTCGTATTCGGGTGGCAGAGTCCATATTCGGTGAAAAGTCGACATCGGTGGAAGATAACCTCGGCAGAGAAAACTTTATTTTATGCAACAGAAGAAAAGCCTCTTCCACCAAGGCTTCTTCTGCTTGACGGATGTTTCCACGATCACTTTCGACTCCTGTGCTACCTCGCGTGATCGACACTCCACCGTCCATTCTGCAACTTCCGGGTATCGTCGTCCCAGATAGTTGATAACAGAGGAGGCGCTCTCCTCGACATTCTTCGGAAGCATCCAATCACTGGAAACGAGGCGGAAGACGACGAGGCGCTTTCCTTCTCCTCACCATCTGTCGAGGTGCGCCACTTCTTCAATTCTTTGAAATTATCCATTCTGCAAAAGAAAGAAACGACTATTATGAAAATACAACTCGTATTCGTTAAGAAAACATTCGTTTTATCTTAATTTCATGTAAATTGTAAGATTTCTAATAAAAAAGTCATTTAAAGAAGCAAATTTCATATAGGATATGATGCGTATATAAATAAACTATACCAATGTTATGTATTTATTAATTTCCATTTTGTTTTAACAATTCGATTGGATTTGAGCTTAACGAAAATTAACAACGACAAGAGTGAAAAGTATGTCCCAAAATAAGCGGAAAGATCCCATTCGTCGTCTCTGTGAATAAAGCGCGCAACGACCGATTAATTGTTATGCAAATAGAGATTTGTCGGAAAATCAAATGACACTAATTGTGATATTCGGCTTAACAATGTTCAAAAATACCTAAATATAGAAAGATCGTAATCTAAACTTACCGATAAAATCGCAGCAATGAAGAAAAACTCAAAGAAACACTTGAAATAAATAGTTTTCAATCGCACGAACTGAAAAACCAACCGTTCGCAATAACAATAAACGACCGCTCGCAACAATAAAACTCTGACAATTTGTTAGTACACAGAGTTTTATTGTTTCGTTGCCACAAAGTTAATATTAAAAGTTCGGCCGAATTGCGTGATTTTCGCGGACCTTTCCTTGCATATATACCTTTGTAATTTACGTGAGCGACACGCTATAATCTATTAATAAAATTAAACTTTTGTTAAATTAAGTGTCTGAATTTCATAGATAAAAGCTTATAAATCGTAGGGACATTTACGCTCTGAAATATAAGAAAGATAACGAAATGTATTAAATTACTCAACATTCCTCTTAATGAATGATTTTTTTTTTACATTTAAAACGAATTATAAATCTCGTTTTAGGTGTGTAAAGCAATACGTTAGACAAAAGAGGAGAGAAAATAGTCTACACCGCTAATGCGATTTGTAATGCGAATTGCCTCTTGGCTTCTGGCAAATTGATTCGAAACACGGAGAATAGCTGATGATCCCATTTATCAGTTGTGAGTGTAACTAATAACTGAACTTTAGGCAATGTTGCTCGCGCCCATCGCTTACCCTGTATTCAAATTCGTCTGTCCAACTACGCAAATTGCCACTGGAAATTAACTTTCAATACGAAGCAAGAAATCTCCGTAGACAACAGCTTTATCTTTTAATAGTTATTTTGGCTATTAAACATAAGCTAAATAATTATATTATTATATGAAAAATTAGGCTATATTATTATAACTTATTAGACTAGAGCAAAAAGCACTAAAAATTATTTAATAATTGAATATTCATTCGTATATGTGCAGTATGTATCCAGACGTATGTTATATATGTTAACTGTATTCAAATTATTTAATGTTCCAGTTATTTATCAAAAAACATGACTCTACAAGCATCTAGATATATTATCAGAAATGTGATCAGTTTAGAAAGATCATTATATAATTTTCGACTTCAGACTACAATAGCATTTGAGCAAGAAACGACAGAAGATGTAATTAATGCTAAACCATTCGAAGAAATACCAGGAGACGTAAAAATTCCATTTCTGGGAACAACGTGGACGTATTTACCTTTTATAGGTACGTACAGTATATTGATATAAACTGATATACATGGAATTAGTGACATATCTTTAACGCAATACTTTATTTTAGGTAAATACAACCACAAAAAATTACACGAGGCATGTTTTGAGAAATATAAAATGTATGGTCCCATAGTACGCGAGTCTATAGGCGGTTTCTACGATGCAGTTTCATTATTTGATCCGAGAGATATAGAAAAGGTTTTGAGGCACGAAGGAAACTTTCCAAGTAGACCGGGGAATGAATTTTTAGCAATGTACAGAGAACTTAGACCACAATGGTATAAATCTGGGGGTTTAGCTGTGCTGTAAGTATAATATGTAAATTTTTTACTATGATAAAATATTAATCTCTCATTATATATAAGGGGCAGTCAAATGAAAACGAGACAGATGGGGAAAAGTTGTAAACTGTTTATTATTTCAAAAGTAATTGCCATAACTGTTAATACGAAGAGGTACAGTACACGCCTGGGTACAGTCATGGTTCTGTAGGCAACCGCAAACATTATTCCACGAAGGCATTGGCCGTCTTGTCTCACAATGGGATGAGTGTATTAACAGTTATGGCGATTACTTTTGAAATAGTAAACAGTTTACTTACTTTTTCCCATCTGTCTCGTTTTCATTTGATTGCCCCTTACATTTAAAAAAGTAAACAAAATTAAATATTTAAATATCATGTTAAAAGGTTTATTTACTTATTAGATTTGTTATGTTTTTAAAAATATTCTTAAGTAAGGAATAAATTTAGACTAATAAATCATTTAAATTATTGCTACTTTTATAGCGCTTTAGTGGCATCTATACTTTAGTAGATAATATATTAAACAAGTGATAATAAATGAAATAATTTTAATTTTTAGAGAAGGTAAAGAATGGGATGATTTTCGTGTGAACGTTCAGCAGTGTCTACTTCGACCGAAATCAGTTCAAAATTATCTAAATCCTATGGATCAGGTGGCTGATGATATGATAAACAGAATGAAAGGATTAAGAAATGGCTTAAAGGAAATTCCCGAATTCTTAAATGAGTTATACAAGTGGTCCCTGGAATGTAAGTGCAACTTATATATATATATAATTATTTTAGATTTAAATTTATCTTTTAACCTCATAGCTATTACCGAGACCAGTCCACCAGTCAGCCAACCTCGGTGGAGCAGCAAGGGTGGCAATCTATCCTTCTGGTGGCCCGGAATCGAATCGGGGCAGGTAGAACCTTCCCAGGAATATTTAGGGGTTATCTGTCTGAATGTGTCAGTTTCCGTCCTTAGTACTTTGGCCATCTCCATTGATATCGTGTACAAACCTAAGACGAATGATTAAAAAGACCTTTCTAGTGCCCACAGATGGAAAGAGTCGAAAATAAGTTATTACTCAATATTAAACGATTTATTTATTTGAAATTTAGCTTTAGCTTCGATGGCTCTTGACAAAAGATTGGGATGTTTGGAAGATGATTTAAAAGAGGATTCGGAAGCGATGAGAATGATCAGAGCAGCGCACGGAACATTCCAAGGAATGAGTGATCTGTTATTTACACCGATGCGTATTTGGAAGTACATTCCAACAAAAGCTTGGAAGAGATTTGTTGAAGCTCAGGACGATTTTGCTGAGTAAATCAGTTATTCCTTTCTTTAACTCTTGGACTGTTTATTATAAAAATTGTTTATGACTATAGCGAAATAGTCATAAACTAAAGAAAAAAACAATTTTTGTTTTTCTACTTTTATCTCGTTTTTATAGAATCGCATTTAAATATGTAAAAGAAGCAATGGAGAGAATCGAAAATAGTAAAGATGAAGACAGAGAAATGACTTTTATCGAAAACTTATTAACGACCAAAAATATCGATCATAGAGATGCAATTACTATGTTACTAGACATGTTATTAGCGGGAGTTGATACGGTAAGAAATATTTTAATTTCTCATGAGTATCAATTATATATTGCTTTCCATATTCTATTTATTTTGCTTTATTTTCTATTATTTTCCATAATAAATATATGAATAGAATTAAAAAGATCGAGTTCGTTAACAAAACGAACAGAAAGAAAATCTGAATCAGAAACCAGGTTTTTCCACATTTTCGCATTTGCATGGATACCAAATAGATGTAAAACATTGTAATGCACAAGCCATTTAATCTCAACTTTGAAACAAAAGTAGTCAATTGTATTAAGAGTAGAATATGCATTTCTCTTCTATTTTATTCCAAACAATGCATCAAATATTTAAATTATCTACACTTAATCGAACTTGGTCTTGCCTGCAGTGTCATGCATGTTTCTGACAAGCAGTGTGATGCTGTTTATACAACATGTCCTCGATAAACCACATTTTTTAAAATGTCCTCGCAAATAAAAATCATACGAATTAAAATTTAAAGCGCCAAAAGTGCTTTAGTGGTAAGCTTTGGTAATTTTTTACCGAAATGTCTTTCGCACGTTCTAAAAATGCTACCCATACTAAATTTACTTACATTTATACTGTTAAATATCTCTATAAACAACGCTGAATGAGGGAATACTTTAAATTACTCGGTATTTTAGTATGTTGTTATATTCACTTCGAATAAAATATATATTTAAAAATAAACATTTAGCTTAAGTTTTCTTTTGAACTTTTATTTCCAGTTAGAATAATTCGGTAAGAACTTGAGATATTATTTTCAAATCTAAAGTAAATATTTTATTTAATATGGCGTAATAAGATATCATATTGATTTTATTGCCACAATTCAACACATTCAACTAGTGACATATCTTTAACGCAATACTTTATTTTAGGTAAATACAACCACAAAAAATTACACGAGGCATGTTTCAAGAAATATAAAACGTATGGTCCCATAGTACGCGAGTCTATAGGCGGTTTCTACGATGCAGTTTCATTATTTGATCCGAGAGATATAGAAAAGGTTTTGAGGCACGAAGGAAACTTTCCAAGTAGACCGGGGAATGAATTTTTAGCAATGTACAGAGAACTTAGACCACAATGGTATAAATCTGGGGGTTTAGCTGTGCTGTAAGTATAATATGTAAATTTTTTACTATGATAAAATATTAATCTCTCATTATATATAAGGGGCAGTCAAATGAAAACGAGACAGATGGGGAAAAGTTGTAAACTGTTTATTATTTCAAAAGTAATTGCCATAACTGTTAATACGAAGAGGTACAGTACATGCCTGGGTACAGTCATGGTTCTGTAGGCAACCGCAAACATTATTCCACGAAGGCATTGGCCGTCTTGTCTCACAATGGGATGAGTGTATTAACAGTTATGGCGATTACTTTTGAAATAGTAAACAGTTTACTTACTTTTTCCCATCTGTCTCGTTTTCATTTGATTGCCCCTTACATTTAAAAAAGTAAACAAAATTAAATATTTAAATATCATGTTAAAAGGTTTATTTACTTATTAGATTTATGTTATGTTTTTAAAAATATTCTTAAGTAAGGAATAAATTTAGACTAATAAATCATTTAAATTATTGCTACTTTTATAGCGCTTTAGTGGCATCTATACTTTAGTAGATAATATATTAAACAAGTGATAATAAATGAAATAATTTTAATTTTTAGAGAAGGTAAAGAATGGGATGATTTTCGTGTGAACGTTCAGCAGTGTCTACTTCGACCGAAATCAGTTCAAAATTATCTAAATCCTATGGATCAGGTGGCTGATGATATGATAAACAGAATGAAAGGATTAAGAAATGGCTTAAAGGAAATTCCCGAATTCTTAAATGAGTTATACAAGTGGTCCCTGGAATGTAAGTGCAACTTATATATATATATAATTATTTTAGATTTAAATTTATCTTTTAACCTCATAGCTATTACCGAGACCAGTCCACCAGTCAGCCAACCTCGGTGGAGCAGCAAGGGTGGCAATCTATCCTTCTGGTGGCCCGGAATCGAATCGGGGCAGGTAGAACCTTCCCAGGAATATTTAGGGGTTATCTGTCTGAATGTGTCAGTTTCCGTCCTTAGTACTTTGGCCATCTCCATTGATATCGTGTACAAACCTAAGACGAATGATTAAAAAGACCTTTCTAGTGCCCACAGATGGAAAGAGTCGAAAATAAGTTATTACTCAATATTAAACGATTTATTTATTTGAAATTTAGCTTTAGCTTCGATGGCTCTTGACAAAAGATTGGGATGTTTGGAAGATGATTTAAAAGAGGATTCGGAAGCGATGAGAATGATCAGAGCAGCGCACGGAACATTCCAAGGAATGAGTGATCTGTTATTTACACCGATGCGTATTTGGAAGTACATTCCAACAAAAGCTTGGAAGAGATTTGTTGAAGCTCAGGACGATTTTGCTGAGTAAATCAGTTATTCCTTTCTTTAACTCTTGGACTGTTTATTATAAAAATTGTTTATGACTATAGCGAAATAGTCATAAACTAAAGAAAAAAACAATTTTTGTTTTTCTACTTTTATCTCGTTTTTATAGAATCGCATTTAAATATGTAAAAGAAGCAATGGAGAGAATCGAAAATAGTAAAGATGAAGACAGAGAAATGACTTTTATCGAAAACTTATTAACGACCAAAAATATCGATCATAGAGATGCAATTACTATGTTACTAGACATGTTATTAGCGGGAGTTGATACGGTAAGAAATATTTTAATTTCTCATGAGTATCAATTATATATTGCTTTCCATATTCTATTTATTTTGCTTTATTTTCTATTATTTTCCATAATAAATATATGAATAGAATTAAAAAGATCGAGTTCGTTAACAAAACGAACAGAAAGAAAATCTGAATCAGAAACCAGGTTTTTCCACATTTTCGCATTTGCATGGATACCAAATAGATGTAAAACATTGTAATGCACAAGCCATTTAATCTCAACTTTGAAACAAAAGTAGTCAATTGTATTAAGAGTAGAATATGCATTTCTCTTCTATTTTATTCCAAACAATGCATCAAATATTTAAATTATCTACACTTAATCGAACTTGGTCTTGCCTGCAGTGTCATGCATGTTTCTGACAAGCAGTGTGATGCTGTTTATACAACATGTCCTCGATAAACCACATTTTTTAAAATGTCCTCGCAAATAAAAATCATACGAATTAAAATTTAAAGCGCCAAAAGTGCTTTAGTGGTAAGCTTTGGTAATTTTTTACCGAAATGTCTTTCGCACGTTCTAAAAATGCTACCCATACTAAATTTACTTACATTTATACTGTTAAATATCTCTATAAACAACGCTGAATGAGGGAATACTTTAAATTACTCGGTATTTTAGTATGTTGTTATATTCACTTCGAATAAAATATATATTTAAAAATAAACATTTAGCTTAAGTTTTCTTTTGAACTTTTATTTCCAGTTAGAATAATTCGGTAAGAACTTGAGATATTATTTTCAAATCTAAAGTAAATATTTTATTTAATATGGCGTAATAAGATATCATATTGATTTTATTGCCACAATTCAACACATTCAACACAAAAAATTCCTACAATTTCAGTTTTTGGTTATTCTATTTACTATCCTTAAAAGATAATTTCTGATATTTTTCGAGAAAAAATTTAGAATAAGAATATTATTTAATTTTATCGTTATTTTATTAAAAATATATGAAAAATACTTATTTTAAGTCCTAAATTCAGTTTACATTAATTTTACAGACGTCACACACGACATCATTTGCTCTATATTTTCTCGCAAAAAATCCCCAAGCTCAAGAAAAAGCTCATTCAGAAATTAAAAATCTTCTCTCAAGAGGACAACCCTTAACACAAAAAATAATGAACGAGCTTCATTATGTCAAAGCTTGTATTAAAGAAAGCATGAGGTAACTAAACCTGCTACATTAATTTCTCTCGATATTGTACAGTAGTAAACTTTAACACTTAAACATAATCATAATTACAATACAATCTTTATCTTTTTACAGGCTCTTCCCAATAGTTACAGGCACTGTAAGGCGTTTAGATCACGATATCGTACTCTCCGGATATAGAATTCCAGCAGGAGTATGTTTAAATTGATCATATTGAAATATTAGTATTAATATAAATGCGAGTTAACAAAATTTTCTTTTGTTTCAGGTAATTTTTATGTTTCAGAATTTAGTAGCTTGTCGTCAGGAGCAATACTTTTATCAAGCTGATAAGTTTATTCCCGAGAGATGGTTGGAAGAAGATAAACAACATCACCCTTTTCTGTTTTTACCCTTTGGATTTGGAAAAAGAATGTGTATTGGACGAAGAATTGCCGAACAAGAGATTCTTCTTCTAATTACTAAAGTTAATATCTAATTACACTCTCGTATTTACGATTTATTTACATTTTTTTTTAAATTAGTTTTATATATAATACATTTTTTATTCTTTGCTTTGTAGATAATACAAAATTTTCACATTGAATACAATTACGAAGATATCGATTGTTATTTTAGAATGGTCAATGTTCCGGATAAGCCTTTGAGATTCAAATTCATCCATCGATAATAAATCAATTATATAGAAATGATTAATTATAATTTTTTAAATAATAATACAATAAAAACTTTAAATTTGTTATCTTTTAATATTGTATAATAATGTTTTAAGAAATGTTTATGAAAAGGAAGAATCATCCTGTCGTATAATTTGAAAAAAAGAAGCAAAAGAGTTTGATTGTTATTTACCTTTTGTTTTTTGTTGAGTAAGTACCAAAATGTATTGAAAAAGAATTGGTAATGCAATTGCAAGGCAAGCGGGAGTTGCGGATTCGACTCCTGCTCCAGGCCGATTCTTTTCTTGCAAAATATTCTAAATTAAAAATTAATATTAATTTATTTTTAATTATTAATAGGAGTTACACTCATGGTAAATTTATCTGTAGCCAATTTCATTTATATCTAATTATTTACTAGCCCGATAACAATTTTCGGCAGTTCATTGAAAACTTTAATGTATCTGGTTGGTTGTTATTTATATATTAAACGGAATACTCGGCATAAAGCGCTCTGAAGAACACGATGTTGAAGTCGAAAGGATAACCTCAGACGTTTTAAGTAAGTGGCCTGTCCCAAATACCTGACCGCCTTATTGCGGGCCTTGTCGAAGTTGAGAATGGAAAAAAGACCTTTTTAATACTTACTGGGCGAAAAATCTGAAATTTCAAAACATAATATAGCTTATAAAACTACGAAACATCAAAGTTTATACTTTCCTATAGTATATATAAGGTAAACATTACAAACCGAAATTTGCACGGTAACTTGTATAATAAGGGACATCGTGGCTATTCAATTTTGGTGGTTGAAGGTGATAGGGTGAAAAATAGAAGGATCTCGTGGACAGTCGGTCTTTATAAAGATTTTACACGTTATTAGTACTTATAATTTTGTATACAACGCATCCGCATCCGTACTTTTAAGATTAATCTTTCTCTGGATTTTTTTAGTGTATGACATAAACAGATAATGTATAATTGTAAAATAAACTCTTGTAAAACTAAGATATTGAGAACTAAATTCGAATTTTCGTGTTATGTGAAACGAAACGTTAAATATAATTTTTGTATATAAACTCTTTGGAATTATTATTACTAACATTTAATAGAAGTCGTAATATGCGTTTGTATTCAAATCTACTTAAAAAAGGAGACAATTCGAGGAACATGTGCAGATTATTCAATTAATAAAGCTTATCAATCTGTGTATTGTGTGTGCAGTGTTGGCTCTATTGTAACGTGCAGCTAAGGCGAAACTGACTTTTGTTGTCATGAAATATATATATATTTCACGCTTCCTTTTATATACGAAGATCTGGTGGCAGAAACTGGATTTAACATTAGTGGAAAAATCTTCAAAAAATAGAATTACAAAAAGCAATTTGTACATAAAAATACTAAGCCTATTCGTGTTAAATAACGCTTATTCTACTTAGTAACAAATGAGTTAATAATTAATGATGTGAAAAAAAGCAAAATATGAATGACATGATGATTCAAAGATATGGAAACGACCTCAGGCCGTTCTCAGTTATCNTCTAATAACTTACATCGAATGTGGCACTCGACTGTTTATCTTCTTCGGGAGAAGGGAAATTTTCCGGTTCTCGGTTACGAGAGAAAAATAAATTTTTTCTCCAAATAACGGCGTATTCATCTCCATCGAGATCGGATCCTGTTATAAAAATAACACTGTTACTCATTTAAAAATATGAATTGATTATTATATTACTTATCGCATAATATTAATAAACATAAACTGATGGTACTAAATCTCTCGTTAATCCACATTTACATTTAAGGGATCTCGAAAATATTTAAAATTATTCTACGTTTGGAAGTGTAACGTAGAAAGCAATATAACTGTCTACAAGCAGGAGGAAAAAAAAAGTATATCATATTTATTCAATTTATAAAAAGTAAAACTATCTATTAAGTTTATTAACACAGTATGAAAGTGTTATAAAATATTATAATTTTGCGATAATGACAGATAATATTCAGGAACATCCCATTACAGACTGAAGTGACTGGTAACTTCAGATAGTTCATTTGGTCAAACCGTCTTTTTCATATTAATAATCTCGATTTGTACGCATGCTTAGTGAAGTTTATTTTAACTCGAATTATCCAAAAAAAGGCGTTCAAAATTCAAATCAATTCATATAATTTAATGTTAAAATCTACGGGTATAGACAGAACATTCTACCAAAATTCAAACTAACCAACTAAGAAAGTTTACTATGTTGCTATCAGGAAGAGTAGGATTTACGGGGCAAAACACTGCTAAAATGGACAACATATGTTTTATATTAATTTAAATTAAAAGATGATTAAAAATTGTAGCTTCATATTTTGACACGAAACAGTAGAAAATTGCTGGCTTTTATTATGCTTCCCTCGAAAGATGACACTAGTGACTGCTGACCATTAACAGAAACTTTGGCGTTTGTGTGAACGTCATAACATTTGCTAAGGTGTAGCTTTACTCATAGAGGAAGTGAAATGTTTTTATTATCGCGAACAACGAATTTTTATCGTTGTATTGCAGACCAGTTTCATTAGGAATATCCAGATTCTGCAGTTCTTGCGAGAATTCCTTGGGTTCCATCTTATTGATAAAGGATTGTGGCCCCTACTATCCTCTGAATTTTTAACCCTAGTGTTTTTCCTACTGGGATTATCTCAAAGGATCCGTTACAAACAGTAATCCACACAGTATAGATGAATTAAAAAAGAACATTATAAAGGCGACTGCCAACATCAGTGTTCAAGTGCTCCACATGGTGGCAGCAAACACGGCAAAAAGAACTGGCGAACATTTCGAAAATATGTTATAATAGCATAATTTCGTTTAGCTTAAAAATTAGTTTATATGTAAACTTTGCTTTAACCTCACAACATAAAATTGATTCCTAACACGCGTGCGTGAATTTTCCATCACTCTGTATNCTTTTGAGGCATTCGTTTTCTGTTTAAATTAATTTAATAACATCTTGATATATTATTATCAAAACTAAAATTTTAAAGTCCTAAATTCAGTTTACATTAATTCTACAGACGTCACACACGACATCATTTGCTCTATATTTTCTCGCGAAAAATACTTATTTTAAGTCCTAAATTCAGTTTACATTAATTTTACAGACGTCACACACGACATCATTTGCTCTATATTTTCTCGCAAAAAATCCCCAAGCTCAAGAAAAAGCTCATTCAGAAATTAAAAATCTTCTCTCAAGAGGACAACCCTTAACACAAAAAATAATGAACGAGCTTCATTATGTCAAAGCTTGTATTAAAGAAAGCATGAGGTAACTAAACCTGCTACATTAATTTCTCTCGATATTGTACAGTAGTAAACTTTAACACTTAAACATAATCATAATTACAATACAATCTTTATCTTTTTACAGGCTCTTCCCAATAGTTACAGGCACTGTAAGGCGTTTAGATCACGATATCGTACTCTCCGGATATAGAATTCCAGCAGGAGTATGTTTAAATTGATCATATTGAAATATTAGTATTAATATAAATGCGAGTTAACAAAATTTTCTTTTGTTTCAGGTAATTTTTATGTTTCAGAATTTAGTAGCTTGTCGTCAGGAGCAATACTTTTATCAAGCTGATAAGTTTATTCCCGAGAGATGGTTGGAAGAAGATAAACAACATCACCCTTTTCTGTTTTTACCCTTTGGATTTGGAAAAAGAATGTGTATTGGACGAAGAATTGCCGAACAAGAGATTCTTCTTCTAATTACTAAAGTTAATATCTAATTATACTCGTATTTAAGATTTATTTACAATTTTTTGAAAATTACTTTTATATATAATACAGCTTTTATTCTTTGCTTTGTAGATAATACAAAATTTTCATATTGAATACAATTACGAAGATATCGATTGTTATTTTAGAATGGTCAATGTTCCGGATAAGCCTTTGAGATTCAAATTCATCCATCGATAATAAATCAATTATATAGAAATGATTAATTATAATTTTTTAAATAATAATACAATAAAAACTTTAAATTTGTTATCTTTTAATATTGTATAATAATGTTTTAAGAAATGTTTATGAAAAGGAAGAATCATCCTGTCGTATAATTTGAAAAAAAGAAGCAAAAGAGTTTGATTGTTATTTACCTTTTGTTTTTTGTTGAGTAAGTACCAAAATGTATTGAAAAAGAATTGGTAATGCAATTGCAAGGCAAGCGGGAGTTGCGGATTCGACTCCTGCTCCAGGCCGATTCTTTTCTTGCAAAATATTCTAAATTAAAAATTAATATTAATTTATTTTTAATTATTAATAGGAGTTACACTCATGGTAAATTTATCTGTAGCCAATTTCATTTATATCTAATTATTTACTAGCCCGATAACAATTTTCGGCAGTTCATTGAAAACTTTAATGTATCTGGTTGGTTGTTATTTATATATTAAACGGAATACTCGGCATAAAGCGCTCTGAAGAACACGATGTTGAAGTCGAAAGGATAACCTCAGACGTTTTAAGTAAGTGGCCTGTCCCAAATACCTGACCGCCTTATTGCGGGCCTTGTCGAAGTTGAGAATGGAAAAAAGACCTTTTTAATACTTACTGGGCGAAAAATCTGAAATTTCAAAACATAATATAGCTTATAAAACTACGAAACATCAAAGTTTATACTTTCCTATAGTATATATAAGGTAAACATTACAAACCGAAATTTGCACGGTAACTTGTATAATAAGGGACATCGTGGCTATTCAATTTTGGTGGTTGAAGGTGATAGGGTGAAAAATAGAAGGATCTCGTGGACAGTCGGTCTTTATAAAGATTTTACACGTTATTAGTACTTATAATTTTGTATACAACGCATCCGCATCCGTACTTTTAAGATTAATCTTTCTCTGGATTTTTTTAGTGTATGACATAAACAGATAATGTATAATTGTAAAATAAACTCTTGTAAAACTAAGATATTGAGAACTAAATTCGAATTTTCGTGTTATGTGAAACGAAACGTTAAATATAATTTTTGTATATAAACTCTTTGGAATTATTATTACTAACATTTAATAGAAGTCGTAATATGCGTTTGTATTCAAATCTACTTAAAAAAGGAGACAATTCGAGGAACATGTGCAGATTATTCAATTAATAAAGCTTATCAATCTGTGTATTGTGTGTGCAGTGTTGGCTCTATTGTAACGTGCAGCTAAGGCGAAACTGACTTTTGTTGTCATGAAATATATATATATTTCACGCTTCCTTTTATATACGAAGATCTGGTGGCAGAAACTGGATTTAACATTAGTGGAAAAATCTTCAAAAAATAGAATTACAAAAAGCAATTTGTACATAAAAATACTAAGCCTATTCGTGTTAAATAACGCTTATTCTACTTAGTAACAAATGAGTTAATAATTAATGATGTGAAAAAAAGCAAAATATGAATGACATGATGATTCAAAGATATGGAAACGACCTCAGGCCGTTCTCAGTTATCAAATGAGGTAAAAAGAGCATGACAGGAAACAATGTGTCGTCGACCAAGAGGATTAGTTTGAAAATGATAGTGCGTCGATGTTTTAAACTATTCAAAGCAAGCAACTATAAGCCGTCCTCGAAATTTTGCACTATTCTTCTTCTTCTTCATCTGGCATTATGAACCTTGAAGGCCCTTAGCCTCAGTCACAATGTTTCTTCATCTCGTTCAGTCTATAGCCTGCCTCTGCCAATCTTCGATTTGAGGTGTTGAAGATCTTCAGTGACCCCATCTATCCACCTTTTTCTGGGACGGCCTCTTGGCCTTTTTCCTTTCCCCTCATAGTGAAGCCCTCTTGAAGCTGTTGCCATTATAGGAAGCCTTACAACATGGCCTAGCCACTGTAATCTTCTGGCTTTAATCATCTGTCTGATCATGGGCTTTCTGTAGGTTGTCCTCAGTTCCTGGTTTGTTCTTTTTCTCCATATTGGTCTCTATTATCCATTAACCATTCGAATCTCTGTAGTTGTAGTTCCTACTGCTTTGTCATTGACCATGTTTCACATCCAAACAGAATCGTAGGTCTAATCAGCAACTCGTATAGTTAGTTTAGTCTTTTTACTAAGGAGTCTGCTTTTTAGTATGTTTGTGAGCCCCAAGTAGATTTTATTACTTTGTAGCAAGCGAGCTCCCTATCTTCTTCTTGATATCATTGTTTCTGTTTATGTCAGTCCCTAAGTACTTGAAGGATTCCGTAGTGCTGAATGTCATATTGTCTGCGGTTAGATGTTCTTTGTGGGATTATCCCTTTTTAGAAATAACCATGTATTTAGTCTTCTCTTCATTAATAATCAGACCAATGCTCTTGGCAGCCGTTACTAATTTTGTTAATCTCATCACTTCCCCTCGAGATACTCCAATTATGACAATGTCATCCGCATATGCTAGTAGTGACAGTTTGTCTTTTGAGCCATTTTCCCTTTTCTTGTCTATCTCCTGGGCTATTCTGACAACTTTTTCTATAGCGATGTTAAAATCCTTACTACACGTAGATATTTTATTATTTTTAAATGATATATATATTTNTCTCTATATCAAATTTAATAGAGAATTTATTTATCACCCGTCAAAGTAATTGTCGACGAATTTTCTATAATTTTTTAAGTTTTCTACAATAGCAATATAGAAATATAATTAGGTAAAGTTTACTTTTTCGGCTGTTATAATATTTTAATCGTGTGATACTTGACTTTTGTTGCTTTTAGAATCATTGTGTTTTGACACCTCCGCACAGAAAAAGTCAAAAAATTAATTCCCAACATACGTGTATGTGTGCTACACGTCTATTTCGATAAATATCTCAGGATAGGTAAACATTACAAACCGAAATTTGCACGGTAACTTCTATAATAAGGGGCATCGTGGCTATTCAATTTTGATGGTTGGAGGTGATAGGGTGAAAAATAGAAGGATCTCGTGGACAGTTGGTCTTTATAAAGATTTTACACGTTATTAGCACTTAAAATTTTGTATACAACGCATCCGCATCCGTATTTTTAAGATTAATCTTTCTCTGGATTTTTTGAGTGTATGACATAGACCAGTGTTTCTGAACCCCTAACGAATCGTCGCCCCCTTTAATGTAGTATCGCCCCTTCAATAAAACCGTTACGTGGTATCGCCCCCTTCACTTCAAAATTCCGATGCTGAGGGCCAAGGCTAACGCCAAATTCGTACTGAATTGAATAGCTAGTGACTAGTATAATGTTATTTGTTTAATTATTATTCGATATAACGAATAAAATATCTAATTATTCTTAATATAATGTTTTACTATATCGGCCAGAAAATTGCTTTTCGCCCCCCCCAAATATAAATTGTTACAAATCACCCCTCAACATGGAAAAACGCCCACATGGGGGCGATATCGCCCCCGTTGAGAAACACTGACATAGACAAATAATGTATAATTGTAAAATAAACGCTTGTAAAACTGAGACATTGAAAACTAAATTCGAATTTTTGTGTTGTGTGAAACGAAACGTAAATATAATTTTTGTATATAAACTCTTTGGAATTATTATTACTAACATTTAATAGAAGTCGTAATATGCGTTTGTATTCAACTTAAAAAAGAGACAATTCGGGGAACATGTGCAGATTATTCAATTAATAAAGCTTATCAATTTGTGTATTGTGTGTGCAGTGTTGGCTCTATTGTAACGTGCAGCTAAGGCGAAACTGACTTTTGTTGTCATAAAATATATATATATATTTCACGCTTCCTTTTATGTACGAAGATCTGGTGGCAGAAACTGGATTTAACATTAGTGGAAAAATCTTCAAAAAATAGAATTACAAAAAACAATTTGTACATAAAACTACTAAGCCTATCCGTGTTAAATAACGCTTATTCTACTTAGTAACAAATGAGTTAATAATTAATGACGTGAAAAAAAGCAAAATATGAATGACATGATGATTCAAAGATATGGAAACGACCTCAGGCCGTTCTCAGTTATCAAATGAGGTAAAAAGAGCATGACAGGAAATTGTGTCATCGACCAAGAGGATTAGTTTGAAAATGATAGTGCGTCGATGTTTTAAACTACGTATTCAAAGCAAGCAACTATAAGTCGCCCTCGAAATTTTACACTATTCTTCTTCTTCTTCATCTGGCATTATGAACCTTGAAGGCCCTTAGCCTCAGTCACAATCTTTCTTCATCTCGTTCAGTCTATAGCTTGCCTCTGCCAATCTTCGATTTGAGGTGTTGAAGATCTTCAGTGACCCCATCTATCCACCTTTTTCTGGGACGGCCTCTTGGCCTTTTCCCTTTCCCCTCATAGTGAAGCCCTCTTGAAGCTGTTGCCATTATAGAAAGCCTTACAACATGGCCTAGCCACTGTAATCTTCTGGCTTTAATCACCTGTCTGATCATGGGCTTTCTGTAGGTTGTCTTCAGTTCCTGGTTTGTTCTTTTTCTCCATATTGGTCTCCATTATCTATTAACCATTCGAATCTCTGTAGTTGTAGTTCCTCCTGCTTTGTCATTGACCATGTTTCACATCCATACAGAATCGCAGGTCTAATCAGCGACTCGTATAGTTAGTTTAGTCCTTTTACTAAGGAGTCTGCTTTCTACTATGTTTGTGAGCCCCAAGTAGATTTTATTACTTTGTAGCAAGCGAGCTCCCTATCTTCTTCTTGATATTGTTTCTGTTTATGTCAGTCCCTAAGTAGCCTACTTGAAGGATTCCGTAGTGCTGAANCTTTCCCCTCATAGTGAAGCCCTCTTGAAGCTGTTGCCATTATAGGAAGCCTTACAACATGGCCTAGCCACTGTAATCTTCTGGCTTTAATCATCTGTCTGATCATGGGCTTTCTGTAGGTTGTCCTCAGTTCCTGGTTTGTTCTTTTTCTCCATATTGGTCTCTATTATCCATTAACCATTCGAATCTCTGTAGTTGTAGTTCCTACTGCTTTGTCATTGACCATGTTTCACATCCAAACAGAATCGTAGGTCTAATCAGCAACTCGTATAGTTAGTTTAGTCTTTTTACTAAGGAGTCTGCTTTTTAGTATGTTTGTGAGCCCCAAGTAGATTTTATTACTTTGTAGCAAGCGAGCTCCCTATCTTCTTCTTGATATCATTGTTTCTGTTTATGTCAGTCCCTAAGTACTTGAAGGATTCCGTAGTGCTGAATGTCATATTGTCTGCGGTTAGATGTTCTTTGTGGGATTATCCCTTTTTAGAAATAACCATGTATTTAGTCTTCTCTTCATTAATAATCAGACCAATGCTCTTGGCAGNTATGCAGCCATAGTAAATAGGCATTGCATTATTACATGAATGAAATCTACTAACTATTTCTTTAGCAATTTCTACATCTTGAATACGTAACATCAAGGCTGTCGATTTGCCATGCACTTCTTTATCGATGGCATCTAAGGTTAGAACTCTTCGTCCCCTAGAATACGCAACGGGAGGATATTTCACTTCTAAAAAGAGTAAAGCACAGTCTTTCTTTATATTTAAAATAATTCTCCTTACGGACGAATATTTTATTTTTAATAAATTATTGTTATCGTCGTAAATATTCCTTTTATGTCTTATTTCCAACATCCGTACGTCATGATAAAAATTTGCCGACAGAAATCCTTTCACATATCTGTGTATTACATAATGCGTTTGTGAGCAGAGAGTTCCAAAGTAAAACATATTTAGAATGATGTTTTCGTGACAAGCAATCTTAGTATGATGAAAACATTTGGCGGTTGAGAATGTTAACCAACATTTTATATCGGTCCTGCACCAGTATGTTGCCAAAATGTCCATTTCGGAATACACGTCGGCAAAGAAACGGTTACTTTTGCACTCTACTTGAATCACGTGTTCGTCAAATACGGGTTTATTGTCGTGTCTTTCTGTCTTTTCCTCTTCGATCCATTGTACTACAGAGAACTTCCACTTTTCGAGATGATTTTCCAAAATCTCTCTAAAGTCGGTGGAAGTTGAATAGTCGTCTAACGAGGTAATTCGAAATTGTAGTCGCATTTCTAGTTATCTGAAATATTAATAATATCAATTTTTGAAATCTGTCTTAAATATGAACAGTCATCTTTGAGAAAGAGCATTATATTCACGTCATTAAAGCAATAATATATGCAACCAACGCGGTAATTAATTGTGCTACAGTTTTCAAGTACAGTTGTCCTATAACGTCAGCAATTTGAAAATTGTAGCCCAATTAATTATCGTGATGCAGATGGACAGCGCGAATTTATAATTCCCACCTTCTGCAAGTTCTTCGTTAATCTCGAGAACGGAATTAGATAGATAAAAGTCGAGACCGGATATGGAAAGCTTAAGGGCAAGCTCCTATTAAGTATACACGAATTTCCGGTCGGGACCAAAACTATTTTTTTGAATTAAAATGTTAAAAATTGCAGCCAAGCATTGTGATGACGTCACAGTAAATTGTTGCTCGTTTAAATATCAAAGGATGTTAGCTATGATGCAATGTTACGTGGTCACAACTAACCTTTAAGTATTGCGAAGGAATATTTTTTAATTACTAGATTTATTTATTACAAAAGTTTTTAGAAAATAAAGAAACAAAATTAATAGCTTTGGAAGAAATCGACACAATTTTATTTAATCTCTTTCCGTCCTGTGATAGTAAGATGAGCTTCTCACTATACCCATCAAGAATTTGGGCGGGACCACAATGGAGCGATCGATCGGGTAATGAAAGAAGGGACGCTCGTCTATTTCTGAACGCCCTGTAAACGAACTTCGGTAAAACATTGTCTCTTACTTTCTTCGCTATTACTCCCCTGTTTTAGGAGTCGTTCGGCCAATCGGGTTATTCGTTTGTGATGTCAGAGAAGGTCTTCAGCTGTATTCCGAAAGCTTCCGGAAATAAAATCTGAAGGCTGTCAACAACCATTGTTCAGCAATTAATGACAATCCTTTTCCATTTCGATATTTAATTTCGTCGTCAATACGGTTTCAAATACGAACAAATCCATATTTAGAAAATTTATACCGAATTCTAAATTTGTCTTTGGAATAGATTTTTAAGGAATTGTTTCGACATCTTATTACTGTCTCCTTTCGTAACTGTCGAAATGAATAATTTTAAATATTTTATTATTAATATTACATTTTTTATATCTATAAAAAGATTTCTGTAATTATTAAAATTGTCTTGTTTGTTTAACAGTACAATGACCCCGAAATGCATTAACGTTTTAAAACCGACACGATACTCGAATTGTAAANAATATATCGTCCAATATGTTCGGATCTATATTTTCAGTATCAGCTGAAATTCCAAATTCCTGATGAAATTCGTTTCTAAAACGCTTCTGCAATGTTTCTACAGATTGCACAACGAGTTTTTCAGCGTTAAAAGCGTCGTGTCTTTCGGAATGTCGCTGGTGAAGTCTTCGAAATGCGCCCGAAATTGCCTCAGCTTCCGTTTGAACTCCATATCTATGCATCAAAATTTGAAGAAAATGATTGTAGTTTTGTCTAGAAATTCGTGCAGATTCTTCGTATTCTTCCCAACCAGGATAAATTAAGTCAGGATCAATCTGAAATATCGAATGATCATTGTTAGAATTCGTAATATGACTATATTAGATTTATAAATCGTTCAAGAATTATTTTGACGTAATTAATGTATTATATAACGTAAAGAGTTGGTTTTCCTTTTAAACACTTTAATTTATGGTTATTTTTAATTATTCACCTGTAATTTAACGGTTTCCCGTTGGACAGATGTAGTTTTCTGTTCAAATATTTCACAATTTCTGTATAAATCACCCAAAGCACGTTTTGATCGATAAGTTTCTCTGTCAGTTCCTCTTTCCATAAAATCTGGATATTTTTGTGGCTTTTCCTCGCATGTTAGGGGTTCTATATAACCAGACTTTACATAATCTAATGCCAGAGAGAATTTTCGAGCAATCTCTTTGCAGATTGGAGTATGTATACCAAATTTATCTGAAATTGCCAAGTGGGCACTTCCGATTATACCAATCTGGTCATTTTTAATGTATTCTTTCAGCATTTCGGTTGTTGTATGTATCTACGAAATATAGAATTTGAAATTTTTATTGAAAATTAAAAAATCAATTGTATCTAATAACTTACATCGAATGTGGCGCTCGACTGTTTATCTTCTTCGGGAGAAGGGAAATTTTCCGGTTCTCGGTTACGAGAGAAAAATAAATTTTTTCTCCAAATAACGGCGTATTCATCTCCATCGAGATCGGATCCTGTTATAAAAATAACACTGTTACTCATTTAAAAATATGAATTGATTATTATATTACTTATCGCATAATATTAATAAACATAAACTGATGGTACTAAATCTCTCGTTAATCCACATTTACATTTAAGGGATCTCGAAAATATTTAAAATTATTCTACGTTTGGAAGTGTAACGTAGAAAGCAATATAACTGTCTACAAGCAGGAGGAAAAAAAAAGTATATCATATTTATTCAATTTATAAAAAGTAAAGCTATCTATTAAGTTTATTAACACAGTATGAAAGTGTTATAAAATATTATAATTTTGCGATAATGACAGATAATATTCAGGAACATCCCATTACAGACTGAAGTGACTGGTAACTTCAGATAGTTCATGTGGTCAAACCGTCTTTTTCATATTAATAATCTCGATTTGTACGCATGCTTAGTGAAGTTTATTTTAACTCGAATTATCCAAAAAAAGGCGTTCAAAATTCAAATTAATTCATATAATTTAATGTTAAAATCTACGGGGATAGACAGAACATTCTACCGAAATTCAAACTAACCAACTAAGAAAGTTTACTATGTTGCTATCAGGAAGAATAGGATTTACGGGGCAAGACACTGCTAAAATGGACAGCATATGTTTTATATTAATTTAAATTAAAAGATGACTAAAATTGCAGCTTCGTATTTTGACACGAAACAATAAAAAATTGCTGGCTTTTATTATGCTTCCCTCGAAAGATGACACTAGTGACTGCTGACCATTAACAGAAACTTTGACGTTTGTGTGAACGTCATAATATTGGCTAAGGTGTAGCTTTACTCATACAGGAAGTGAAATGCTTTTATTATCTCGAACAACGAATTTTTATCGTTGTATTGCAGTCCAGTCGTATTACAGACCAGTTTCATTACGAATATCTAGATTCTGCAGTTCTTGCGAGAATTCCTTGGGTTCCATCTTATTGATAAAGGATTGTGGCCCCTACTATCCTCTGAATTTTTAACCCTAGTTTTTTCCTACGGGGATTATCTCAAAGGAACTATTACAAACAATAATCCACACAGAATACATGAACTAAAGAAGAACATTATAAAGGCGACTGCCAACATCAGTGTTCAAGTGCTCCACATGGCGGCAGCAAACACGGCAAAAAGAACTGGTGAACATTTCGAAAATATGTTATAACAACATAATTTCATTTAGCTTAAAAATTAGTTTATATGTAAACTTTGCTTTAACCTCACAACATAAAACTGATTCCTAACACGCGTGCGTGAATTTCCCATCACTCCGTATTTTAGTTATGAGAAAGCAAATGTTTGCAATAAAATTTCAAGTTTTTTGAAGTACAGTATATAAAGCGTATTACGAAACTTATTTTGATTTCTTATACAGTATATCTGAAGAAGCTGCTAAAGTGAAAAGGATTTTTCGTTTTCGAAAATGTTTTACAAATTATTACAAACAAGTAAGTAATTTTATCTTTAAGAATAATAACATACCAGCCATTTCATCCGGATGTGGTCGTTTCCCTTTCTGCGGAAACACTATACAATCCACAATATGATGTAAAGCGGGAACATCGATAGCTTCTAAAATTCGAATATCTCCGGGTTGAGTACAAGGGTTTTTTGTCACCAACACTCGACCTGAAATATTATAAATTAATTAAATTACAATAACAATTTCGATTATATTTAATCTATACAAACAATATTTCTACCTGTTTTAATTACTGTTTCTGTACTAGTTTCTTGTCCTACAATATCTTTCGTGTATTGAATAAATACTTGGCCATATTCGAGAGTGGCCGTCTCGTCTAGAACTCCGAACATGTTTCGTCCTTCGTTGGGATTTATAGCTAATCTAGCTTTTGTCTTAATATCATCTAAAGTAATTAATGATTTTCTATTGTATAGTGAATAATGCGGTAAACACAATATATAATAAGTTTTCAATACTCACAAATCGCTCTTTCTCGAAGACATAATAACAATTCGCGAAAGAAAGGATCGCCTGTCAATCCTATTCCCGCATTCACCATTTCTTGAAATCCTGTTATGGTTTCCAGATTCAGTTTAGAAGCGAGATATTCTGCAGTCTTTTCATCGTCGGTTAAAATATCTGTTTCGGTCGAAAGCATTTCTTCCTGTAGTTCTAGAAATACTTTATTTGGAACACCCAGTTGATTCAGGATGTTGATCATTGGACGATTCAAGTGTACGGGTACTAAATTTAATAAATAAACAAATAAACATATTAAATATGCATTTTTAATTTTTTGTTTCAATGCTTCGGTCTCGGATATAATCAGTTTTAAACAACGCACGTAATAAAACAGTTGAATAAGAAAAACGGTAAAGATACCAAATTAGAAGCTTAGAAGCAATGTTTGAATTTATATACAGGCCTATACATAATATTCGTATAAAATTAAATACTTACTGGCTTGACTTTGCTTTACTATTTCAAGTTGATCAGATGGACTATCAAATTTTTTCATACTTTTTCTAAACACAATTTTCAGTCCTTCGTCGTCCAACGTCGGATCCATAACAAGCATTCCCTTATAACCTGCATATCTTATTTGAAAAGCACACGAAACTTTTTTCAAATTCAACTTTTCGCTAACCTACAAGAATAAGATGTTATAATACATTTAAAATTCCATTTATCATGTGAATAGGTCTTTCAGAATTAACTAATGAACTGAAACGTCTGTCATTTTATTATTTACTAATGAATTTTATTATTATTATTATTATACATGTTTTTATATGAATAGAAATAGCAATGACCATGATATAGACCGTCTATTTGCCAATATAAACGATCGCGCTTTGCTGACACCTCTGCTATTTGGGCCTGCCTGAGAGCAGTTATTAAGGCGATTTCAAAAAAAGCCTTTTCCAACTGTTTCCAAAAGCTTCGCGAATATTGTCAAAATATTGTATTGTGTCTCGTAGAGCGTACTTTGAAGCCCGATAAAAGTAATATCTTTGTATCTTTTGTTTTCTTGTCAGAATAAAAACAATAAAACAGTAATTTGAAAAATTCTTTGTCTATTAGCACTAAAACTTGGGATTAACTATTTGATTGTCAAAAATATATTTATTGATTATTACCACTTTTGAATTATTAACTTCACATATAACAAAATCTAAAAACTATTTATAATAGACACAAATATACAAACATGTAATTATAAATTAAGATAATAAATGTGGATACTCACGTTCTCGGCTAATTGTCTAGACATTTTGCCAATTCCATCTGAAAAGCAGTAAGGTTTTCCTGTAACAGGATTTACTCCACCTTCAATATCATCCTCTGTAATGACGTAACGATGCTCTAATGGAATTTTCACTGTGTCTTCTGTTTGTGAAAAGCACTGTCCCAAACGAGCCATGTATTTGGATACGCTTTTGGTTATCGAGAAATCACCCATCCATGCTCGAATAGTATCGGCATTATTTCCTTTATTGTCTTCCGCATACATCCATACACTATGATCTCTGATTTGAGAATTTGACCATGCCAAAAATTTGTAATGTCTTGCGCATATTTTTATTCCTTCAATCATAGGCATCGTAACTGCGAATTCCAATAATGCAGCATCACTGTAATTTGCTGACGCACTCAATTTCTTACCGTCGTCATCTCGAAAAGATACTCGCAGTGCATAATTTGAATCAAAATTTCGCAACATTCTGTTACTGAATTGAAATTCGGGAGGATAAAACAAAGTTGTTGTTGGAGTCAAAACTACTCTCCGAATCAATTTGGCATCAGAAGGCGTTGTATATTCGTTATCTTTTGCACGAATTTGATGATCTGTTTGACAATACCATTGATACATCAATTCGATTGCACGTGGATAGTGGCAGAGTACACCACGTTCTTGCAAATCTAATATATACTCCAAAGCTTTCTCTAAGTAAATTGGATTTTCGTTGCATTGCTGTTCTATCTGATTAATGAATGTTTTCCAATTTCCTCTAGTTTGCTCTTGTAAGACAAAATTTCTAGTAAGTATTGCGTATAAGTTGTAAGTGCAATCGAAATTCTTCAAATTAAAAGTCGGCAATGGCAAATATTTTCTTGTTTCCAATTGTATGCAGCCATAGTAAATAGGCATTGCATTATTACATGAATGAAATCTACTAACTATTTCTTTAGCAAATTCTACATCTTGAATACGTAACATCAAGGCTGTCGATTTGCCATGCACTTCTTTATCGATGGCATCTAAGGTTAGAACTCTTCGTCCCCTAGAATACGCAACGGGAGGATATTTCACTTCTAAAAAGAGTAAAGCACAGTCTTTCTTTATATTTAAAATAATTCTCCTTACGGACGAATATTTTATTTTTAATAAATTATTGTTATCGTCGTAAATATTTCTTTTATGTCTTATTTCCAACATCCGTACGTCATGATAAAAATTTGCCGACAGAAATCCTTTCACATATCTGTGTATTACATAATGCGTTTGTGAGCAGAGAGTTCCAAAGTAAAACATATTTAGAATGATGTTTTCGTGACAAGCAATCTTAGTATGATGAAAACATTTGGCGGTTGAGAATGTTAACCAACATTTTATATCGGTCCTGCACCAGTATGTTGCCAAAATGTCCATTTCGGAATACACGTCGGCAAAGAAACGGTTACTTTTGCACTCTACTTGAATCACGTGTTCGTCAAATACGGGTTTATTGTCGTGTCTTTCTGTCTTTTCCTCTTCGATCCATTGTACTACAGAGAACTTCCACTTTTCGAGATGATTTTCTAAAATCTCTCTAAAGTCGGTGGAAGTTGAATAGTCGTCTAACGAGGTAATTCGAAATTGTAGTCGCATTTCTAGTTATCTGAAATATTAATAATATCAATTTTTGAAATCTGTCTTAAATATGAACAGTCATCTTTGAGAAAGAGCATTATATTCACGTCATTAAAGCAATAATATATGCAACCAACGCGGTAATTAATTGTGCTACAGTTTTCAAGTACAGTTGTCCTATAACGTCAGCAATTTGAAAATTGTAGCCCAATTAATTATCGTGATGCAGATGGACAGCGCGAATTTATAATTCCCACCTTCTGCAAGTTCTTCGTTAATCTCGAGAACGGAATTAGATAGATAAAAGTCGAGACCGGATATGGAAAGCTTAAGGGCAAGCTCCTATTAAGTATACACGAATTTCCGGTCGGGACCAAAACTATTTTTTTGAATTAAAATGTTAAAAATTGCAGCCAAGCATTGTGATGACGTCACAGTAAATTGTTGCTCGTTTAAATATCAAAGGATGTTAGCTATGATGCAATGTTACGTGGTCACAACTAACCTTTAAGTATTGCGAAGGAATATTTTTTAATTACTAGATTTATTTATTACAAAAGTTTTTAGAAAATAAAGAAACAAAATTAATAGCTTTGGAAGAAATCGACACAATTTTATTTAATCTCTTTCCGTCCTGTGATAGTAAGATGAGCTTCTCACTATACCCATCAAGAATTTGGGCGGGACCACAATGGAGCGATCGATCGGGTAATGAAAGAAGGGACGCTCGTCTATTTCTGAACGCCCTGTAAACGAACTTCGGTAAAACATTGTCTCTTACTTTCTTCGCTATTACTCCCCTGTTTTAGGAGTCGTTCGGCCAATCGGGTTATTCGTTTGTGATGTCAGAGAAGGTCTTCAGCTGTATTCCGAAAGCTTCCGGAAATAAAATCTGAAGGCTGTCAACAACCATTGTTCAGCAATTAATGACAATCCTTTTCCATTTCGATATTTAATTTCGTCGTCAATACGGTTTCAAATACGAACAAATCCATATTTAGAAAATTTATACCGAATTCTAAATTTGTCTTTGGAATAGATTTTTAAGGAATTGTTTCGACATCTTATTACTGTCTCCTTTCGTAACTGTCGAAATGAATAATTTTAAATATTTTATTATTAATATTACATTTTTTATATCTATAAAAAGATTTCTGTAATTATTAAAATTGTCTTGTTTGTTTAACAGTACAATGACCCCGAAATGCATTAACGTTTTAAAACCGACACGATACTCGAATTGTAAATAAATGCATCTGATTTAATTGTACTTTTAAGTCTTCACCCATTTGAATATCGGAATTTAAAGTATTTAATTTTGTTATTTTTGCTCCGAGCAATTAACACGTCAATCGCTATCCGAACAGCCACCGATCATACTAATTAGGGTCGAACCAACCGGAACTTTATAGATGTGCGCGAGAGGCCACCACTAGGATGTAAAACAACGTCTTACAAAGCCAGGATAATTTAACCTTGAGTGAAAAACTACATTGGTTATAGCGAAGTCGGGCGGTCGAATGGTTCTGTACGGCCCTAATTATTATGACCTTGACGCGTCGGATAGCGATTAACGTGTTAATTAATAATTTTGTCGATTCGTACCGTTTACATTTATCAAAGGAACGATATCCATTTTTATCTAAACTTTTCCACGAACAAAGCTACCACTCGAATTAAAAAGCCCTCTAAACTTGCTGTCGAGTGAGTCTAGAAAGTAGGTCAAATCACTTGTTTCTAATCGCTGTCTACATTGTGGCAGGCGAGAAACGCCTCCTCTGCAATGAAATTTTCTGAACAGCCTCTAAACGTTGTCTCTGCAATCGGCTGCATGTTTCTCGATAAAGTGACATCTCCATAAGCTTCGGTTAAATCTGCAAATGTCGCGGTTGCAGATTTCTAGAGTTTTACACAAAACTTGATAGCGTAACGTTGTTCGAGATTTTTTTCCATTTCAAACGTAATCATGTGTTAAAACACGATCTTACACAAACAGAGATTGTGCATGTTTGACATAACCGATCAACTTGAAACCGATCTAGACAAGCCGCTAAGATATCTAGCAACACGAAAAAACCAATTAATGACGTTTTAAACTGCACAGTCATTAAATAAAAAATCGGTACACTTACTTTTGAAACAGACCTTGCATGCGTGAGATAATCCCTTCTGATACTACGTTCGCACACAATCCACGACTCACTTCGATCTCGATTTACCTACAATCTGGATTTTAACTGTCGCCAGACGAACGTCGAGCTGTTCGACAGGCAGTCCGCTCGAGAAGAATCCGGCTACTACACGCGATGATAAAACTGACATAATACGCGGTCAGTTACAAACACCAACAAACAAATTGGAAGTTTTGGTTAGAAATAAATACTTTTTCTTGTCATATATCTGATAATAGACAGATGTCATCGTCTCTCCAGATGTCTTTTTTATTTCTCTGTTGATAGCCCATGTTCTGCAGCCATCTTGTATTTTCTCGCGCGCGTGGGATTGTGGGATCTCTCTTATGACTGGATCAAGTTTCGAGAACTCTCTCCAGTCGATCGCTATTGAACCTCGTTTCAGTCGAGATTGAAACGGTCGAGAGCATTCGCACCACGGAACAGTCTCCGACCTTAGTCACAATCTAAATCGAAATGCTCGGTGCGAACGGGGTATAACGCACTTCTATATGACTTCATGGGCTTCAAAATGACAACCACATTTCAAAACACAAACGCCTTCATTATGATAAACGCCCGTAACTTCTGGTGTCTCCACCTTTTACACGAAATGCGTAGGAATCTCGCCACGTGATCTTCGGTTGTTAGACCATCAAGGTTACTTTCTCAGGTGTGCGAGCTCGGCGACGATTTTCGTTGACGTCATGGAGTCGCTTTTCCCTCCTTTCATTATCGGGTATTATCGTTTCGCAACTGCCTGTTAACTTTTTCATCCATTTGTTGATACTAGAGCTGTCCGTGTTCGATGCGATGTTTTTTTTCTAACTATCGCGACAGATGTTTACTTAAAACATTTCGATTAAAAATGGATTTTAATATCCATAAAATCATCGATCTCACACTATCCCACGCTTTCTTTAAAATCATACTAAGAGGATAATGTGATTTTAATATATAAATTCAAAGTTACTCTCTCAAAAATATGTCATTGGTTCTGTGACCTAAATTCACAATTGAGAGGTGTTTCCCAACCTTTTTTGTGCTATGCCGCACCTTTCCTAAGCCTTTCTAAAATTCTTATGCCCCCTAACATATACAGCGGCTATACGGTTAACTTAAACTCTGAGTCCATTTTCGAATTGCCCCCTTGTGGGGCGTGGGCCCCACGTTGCAAAACACTGCTCTAGACCGACACATGTTACTGTGGGGCTCTAGAAGGGCTTTAGAAGTGGGCTGGAACCACACTAAAAATAAAAAATAAAAAACAATTTTGTGGAAANTTTTTAAATTTTTATAAAGCCATTTAAGGAAAGGGTATAAACTTCACGCCCATATAAGGACATGTTTGATGGAATTGTTACAAAAGAGAGAGCCTCAGATTAAACCAATAGATGAATGTAAATCCTAAGATCGAACATCTTCGATAGGGATCGCGTTGACAGTCGTTCAAAAGGATGGCTTTTCCTAATTCAAGGAAAATCGAGGGCGGAGGGACTTACAATTAGAATAAATTTAAAGCGGAATTTGGTGATGGCGAATTCACCTTCTTCCTCGTCTGGTCCCCGACACCAGTTAATCATATTTAGATACGCGGATTAACACGCGTGTGGAGATAATATGGATGTGATTCAGATAACAAATAAGAGACATTTCTTTAACCAGTAATAAAAGATTTAATAAAATAAAAGTAAATAAAATTACACAAATGGAATTATTCAAAAATAAAATTAAGCGAATGAGAGACAATGGATTAATTAAATATAAGCTTCGAGAGAGAGAGCTCACAAATTCATTCATAAATCACACTACCTCAAAGTTTACTTTGTCATTATGTTCATCTGTATTCGGTGATCCTACTTCGTTTCATGGAGAGGTCTTGATTTGGCACAATATTAAAAATTTCTTCTTTTACTCTTAAATTAACTCATTATTATACTCGATTGGATACGACTAAGGACTTTGTGGACTACGTCGGTATTCTCTGAATCCTTTCCGTATCATAACTAAGGGCGTTGGCCTTAGGGAGCGAATATGGGCTACTTCATTTCTCTATGAGATCTTCGGACGTACTCCCCGAATCATGCAGCTCTTTGACTATATCTCATGATTTGTGACCAATCAGCTTAATTGTCATCTCTCACGTGAACGGATGAAAAGGGGAATTATTGAGGGGTCGACAATTCCCAGTGTGGTGAGATTTGTGATAGATAAGTGGAAAACAGAAGGATGTGTCTGCTTCCGTTAAAGGAAGTGCCTCTTTTATCAGTTTTCCCACTTTAGAAAAACGATATTTTCACACCAAAATGAAAAAATATTTTACTTTATAATTATAACGTTATATTTAAATTGTTATTTAGACCCAGGGGTAATTCGGATCTCACATTAAAACATTCGATTTTCAAATATAAACAGATTAGTTCGGTCTTTCTCAGCCTTTCTTTAGAAAGTTTTTCTCTTGCGGACGGGTTTTTGTCAATATTTTTCTCTAATTTTCTTTAACAAAATTTCAAACGAAACCAATTATGTTTTTTACAAGATTTTCATTTAAAATGGGCTGGAAAAAATTCACTTTTTTCACACATTTTGTTTCGATATAACACGTTTCTATAAATTTGTTTTTTTGTTTTTATATATAAATCTTCATTTGTGTTTTTAATTCTAAGAGAATTATTCTTATTTCTTTTACTAGAAAACTGCTCAATTTAAAAAAAAAAATTAGAATTTGCATTTAGAACTCGACACACGCTCGAGTAAATTTTACTTTAAACATTTGAATTTTTGTCCATTATTTGATTCCGCCCTGTGACCACGTAGAGAACTTTCTAATCATATTGAGCAAGGGTCGAACAGATCCTCAACGGAGGAGTAAGGAATGGGGTCCGACATATCGGGATAGATACACAAAACACGGAGAGTTACTCGTCCGGATTTGATTCCGGGTTCCCCAGAGCGATAGGCTGATGCCTTACCGCCTCGGAAAATTAGCCGTCTACTGGTTTCAGAAATATTGAACACCATGAGAATGACTCCGCTCCAAGTAAGACAATTCATTGAATGGTTACATATAAGAAAGTCAGAATTGCCGATATTCTGGGATCATTTTCTCCTCCCCAAACGCGTAAAGTAGTTCCGTATAACCCATTCCAAAAATTTAGTTTTTTTTTCGGTAGTGTGTGAAATTTCAGGATTTTCTATAAAGGAATTGTCGAAAAATATACGCAATCGAAAAGTGCAAAGTTTTGATTTTGGAAGAAGAAAAACGGAGGGCGCGCGAATTTTAAAAATTTGTTCGGTTCGGCACGCGCGTATTTAAAATTGTTCTAAAATCGGAACGCCATTACTCGTTATAGAATAGAATAAGTTAATTTATTATTTTCAAATTATAAAATTCGGATATCCCGAAAAATGCCGATTAAGAAGGTTGAAAAAGTTAGTATAATAAACGTTCACTACTCGATAAATAGTTTGTATTGCGATTATGAAAAAATTAAAAAATAATTGTTAGTACAAAAGACGGAAATTATTTTAAGATTATTAAGAACACAGAAGACTCACGAGTTATTTTGCTAGCTTCAATCTATAAGTTATTCGCTTCTATCAGAAAGGCAAAGATTCGAATCACATTCAAAATATATAAATCAAATTTATATATTTCGGTTCTTTTATCATTTTAAACTACGAATAATGTAGACAATTAATGGACTATAACATACCAATTTGAGTCAATTAGGAATTCACAACTTATTTGTTTTTATAATTCGAATCTTGAAACTTTGAAGAAAAGATTTAAATATAATTATCTCACGAAAATATATTTTGCTATTTCCATTAATCGCTATAATAATTCTACATATTACGTGTATTTAAATTAAATTATAATAATAAAAAGTGTTTTAAATTCCAATTTACAACTTACATAAAAAACGATCCGTTTCGAACCTTTTAACTCGGAAGTAATTCCCGTTACTACGATGACGTCAAATTACGTTCGAAAATACATTCAAACGTCTGATGTTTAAAATTATGGTTTTTGTATACTCAAAAATCTGTAAAATACTGAAATACTTCTAAATATTCTTACAAAAGTATTTTAAAACTTGTATATACTCATCAGAGATCATTTTTATGTTAAGGCCCTGTACACACTAGGCGTTTTTCAACGCGCGTTAAACGCTCGTAAAACGCCGAGCTAACGCGCGTTAGCTCGGCGTTTGACGAGCGTTTAGCGGAGCGTGCGCACTGGCTCGGTTTGGAAATGGATGTGGAAGTGATTGCTTGTGTGTGGCTCCACTATCGTCGCTATAAAAGACGACGGCGGAGGCAAAGAGAATTTTGGGTGCACCCAATATTACGAGATAGACTGACGCATGAAATGTTTGCGACGTTGTATCCAAAACTAAGACAAAATAAATTCAAGTTTTTTAATTCTTTTAAAATATCTATAAAATCCTTTGACGATGGTTGGTCTCTTTTAGATTTCATCAATAAATAGATCAGTATCGAAATGATCGTTCTCCATTTCAGCACATATATCTCAAAGCGCTCGGCTGACGCCCGCAAAACGCGCGATCGCATGTACGGTAACATGGCAGCACATATATCTCAAAGCGCCCGTAAAGCGCTCGCAAAACGCGCGTTTTAACAAAAATCTATAAGCGCTCGCAAAACGCGCGTTTAACGCGCGCTTGGCTTTTGAGTGTGTACGGCTACATAGAACTCTTGGTTCTTATAAGCGCTCGCAAAACGCGCGTTTAAAAGCGCTCGCAAAACGCGCGTTGAAAAACGCCTAGTGTGTACAGGGTCTTAAACGCGCGTTGAAAAACGCCTAGTGTGTACAGGGTCTAAAGAGCGTTCTCTATGCCTCAAAATATAGGGTTCCTTAACGATGCTCCGTACATGACGTCATGCGTAATTTCGACGAATTTTGGGACACGTTATTGACGCAACATTTTTATCATTTTTTTTATTGGTACGGTACAACGGTACATTTATTACAAGTTGAGAAAGAGCGTCAGTCAAGCCTCTTCTATGTGGCTTGCAGAATTGTGTTCGTTCTCAAAATCTGTTCGATAGATTTCGGTTAATCGCTGCCATTTTGTATTAATTGCGACGAGGAATCCAAGAATGATATGGGGGTTCACTTGAATGTAAAACATAGGCGCCCACGTCTTAGTTTTCGATATACGGAGAGATATATAAGG